ATGCCCAGAAAGAAAGTGTGTTGCAAGAAGAAAGATGTGAAATTGATAAATATATATATATATATATGAAACCCTCAATCTAAATGAGCTTCATAGTGCAATTACACTGGTTTAAGGTAATTGCAATTTTTTTGGATTAAATATTCTTGTGAAAGCTTCACCTTCATTATTCTACCAGCTTATATATGGATGTGAGTTTGGTGAGGGGATTGGTTATCCTCTAGTTTTCCTTTTCTCTGGGTGCCTCGGCTTCAAAATGTTTGCTCAACCTATATACTTGTGCTTTACATATAGTACTAACAAGTGACAAAATGAAAACTCTGTTTAATCTCTAATGTTGTTATAAGTAGCTGAATTTTGTTCAACCTATATTTATACAGAAATATTTTTATGATATTGTTATTATGCACACTATTTAATCTCTAATGTTTCTATAAGTGGATGATTTTTATTTTTATTTTTCCATTTAGATGAAATCCCAAATGTGTTTATACTCTGGATATAGAAGTCACTTACTTTACCTTGCAAACTAGGAGCCTGTATAATTCCTATTGGATGTATTGTTACAGAATGTCAGTCACAATTGGATATTTTTTAGTCCAGCAGGAAAATAAGTCTTTATGACAATACTATTAGTTTTTAGTATAGAATTCTTAGTGAATATAGATATGGGTGTACGAGTGTGAAAGGGTGTTAGTTTCAGATTCGGTTTCCTTTATTTATGAAATTATGTTAGTTTATGGAATTTGAATTCTTGAATGTTGATAATATTTAATAAGCAGTTGAATGGAAGGAGAGGTATCTCCGGCATTTTCTATTTCCAATTGGATTTATCGAAGAGACCAATTGGTGTCTCGGTTTACTAGTAACATTTTCCCCCAACTCTCCATTAATTCCTCTGTTTTTATTAGCATAGGTAAGGAAAATAAGCCCAACTTTTCAGGGTAAATACCGTGTACATATTGCATTATGGTGTTTTTGTTGATATTAGGGAAAGATCCACGCAGTTTGAAAAATGATAAATGAAGGAAGGCTTCTCGTAATAAATGGTTCCCTTCCATGTAATAGAAGAGACTTCTCTCCAATCTGAGGTAACAATCCAAGTTTGCAAGTGTGACTACCATCCAAGGGTGGAGGAGACAGTAGTGAGAAACTCCTACTTGACATTAACATCCGCAAAGGTCTAGTTATCTAGATGATGCCCATTGAAATTAACATCTCTTATTTAATATTTGGCAAGAGAAGATGACTTGTTTAGCAGCATAAACTGAGTCAGTTAATGCACACGGAAAAGAAGACGAATCATCTTTTTAATGCTTGTTTAAATGTCAGTGTTTTACTTTTTCCAGTGAATAATCTCATTTCTGTCTTTGGTGCTGATTTTGTGTCCCACCTGCATTATGCTTCTCCTGGCAGATTCATATTCTTTGGAAGCCTTGCAGAACAATGGCACATATGAATTCTTTTTCTGTTTATATTTTGTTCAGATTCTTTTTGTTTGCGCATTGGATTAATACATTGCAATTGCAGGAAGCTATAGTTCTACCCTCATTTGTCGCAATAGCAATTCACCCAAGACCTGGTGTTTGGGACTTGTTCGTGTCAATGTGTATGAACTGACTGTGGAACAATTAATTATTCAAGAATATCTTTGCTTCAAAGAACTTGTGGATGGGGAGTGAGGAACCTCTCTTGAAATTGTTTAATGATTATGAATTTGTTGATTTCCTTGTTTGATGTGACATACTTGATAAATCACCAGAATCTCATAGATAATTGCTGCCTTTTTTACATATTTAATTTCTCACAAGTTTAATTAAAATTTGGAATTTGGAACCTGGTCTAGGTACAATGGAAATTACGTGCTTGAAATTGATTTTGAGCTGTTCAATGCAACAGTTCCTAGACTAACTCAGTTATCTTCCATTGGCAATGTGGTTCAATTTCTCTATCGTCACCTATCTTCAATCATCTTCCGTAATAAAGAAAGTTGGGAGCCTTTGCTTCATTTTCTTCGCACATAATGGGCATGTGAGTCTTCTTAACTTTTGGCATTGACATTATGATCTTTGCTCCCCATTCAGAAAATGAATAATAATAATAATAATAACAACAACAAAAGAGGTTTGTAATTTGCATGAGGAGACTTAAGATAATTTTTATTTTACCAATGTGTTTTGCAGGTGATGATGCTGACTGATGGGATACATACAATATCTGGACTCTAGTTTGCTTTGGCAAGGGCAGAGGAATATCTTTCCCACCAGATGAAACATACTCTCAGTTTGAATATGTATGAGTGACAATCTCTCAAGACAACTCTTCTTGCTTAAATAGAAATAAGCCTCAAAATATAGAGCTTCCTCCTTTTCAAGAGAGGCAAAGTTGCTAGATAAACTTTGGGAGAGGAGGGTGTTGGATTTTGACAGTGAGATCAATTGAGTAAGTTTTTTTACATTACATTTCATTCAATCGAAAGCCTATTGTTAATTGTAGATTTTATGATTGATGATAATGAGAAAGGAAGGAAGTTGCGTATAAATACAATTGGTGACCAAATGATAGCCTATAGTTTGCAGACAAAACAGCGTCGTTACATTCTTTTTCTTTTCTTTTCTTTCTTTTTTTTTTAAAATTTTTTTTTTCAGTTCATTATTTCAATTTTTTTTCCTCTCTAGGCCACTTCTTCTTAAGTATGGCCTTGATAAATAGGTTAGATTAGATTAACTATTTAACACTTAAGTACTGGCTTTATTGCAATGGAAGGACTGGGTTTATTTCAGTCATGGAAGTGACACAGTTTCTTAAATCATGTTTGTAGATAGCAGAATTTTGATTGCCCTTTTTAATTTGTCATATTTGGATGGAAAGTCCTGTTATATGTATGCAGAAGTTGTTGGACCAACGAAGGTTGGCCTGAGTTGAAGGAGCTCTGGTCGCTTAAGCAAGTGGTCTCGGGTTCGAGTCCTTGTCGATGAAGCAAACCTTCTTGGGAGAGGTCCCTGCCTTGGCGCTCGACCGTACCTCAGAGGATTAGTCCTGGTGAAGCCTGGGGATACCTTGGGAAACCAAAAACAAAAAAAGTTGTTGGAATCCTCATTGTCAATTGTGGTCTATTTTTGTTCTGCTTTATATATTTATATGCATTTGTTTGTATGGACTTTTCTATGCTTGATAGTTTGTTATTCAATCATATAGTCTGATTACCTTGTCTGGAGCCAAAACAACAGAAGCATCCAATATCATGAGCTGAGATTTTATCCTGAATGAACCTTCTTTGTTTTCATACATTCTGCAATTTTCAGATTTTCATTTGTAACTTATTTTCATTTTTGGTCTAATTTTTTTCCCTATTAATTCTAACAAAGATTGAGCAAAGGAATGAATTAAGGAGCTACGGAGCTAATTACTATGGTTGCCTAAATCCTTGATTTCTATTTTCAAGTATGCCCTTCAATCTAACAGTTACATATTTACTCCCAAATTTTCTTTCTTCATTCACCAAAATTTGCATTCTAGGGCCTCATGTCATTTCCTTCTCTATTCTTTATATATCTCGTCGCATCTGTTCATATATATATGGATTATTCATGGTTATTTCCAAGTGTATGGATTTTGTTCATTTTTTTTTTTTAATCATTCTATTGGGTATATTTTTTTGGAAGTTAAAATAAATTATAGACAAACTATTTGGCATTGAAAAAATTTGACTCCTAAAAAAGTTGTTCTAATTTAATCATAGTGACATGATAGATTATCTCACAATTTTTTGATTTGTTACAATTCAACCATCCCCACCTTCGTGGTTGATCCTCTCCTTTTTGATAGTATCATTGAGATATTTTTTTGGTGCTATTTCCCAATTTACAGAATGTATAAAATGAACACTAGAAGGTGGTAAATATTGGCCCTGGGGTGGGAAAGTAAATGTAAATGGCATGGAGAGGATTATGGTTAAAAAATTCATATCTAATTCATGAAGAACTATATTTTCCCGTTTTCTTTTCTTATTTTTTAATCTTGTTTTTGATATGTTGACAGAAGGAATAATATGATTTTGTCCAAAATTTTGTTGTTGTAATGAATTTTTTTTATATATTTTTATTTGTGTGTTGCTGCATAAAATAAAAAAAATAAAAAATAAAAATCAATCTATATTGTAATTATTTTATAATTATCCCACTGAATTATAATTTTCACAATTATTAATTGCTCTAATTTTAAATTCCAACGTAATGGAAAGCCCAAACCACAGTCAAAGGCCCCTCAAAAAATAATTTAACTAGTTACCAAGCAATAGAAAAAAGAGATTGATGTTTAATTATTAATTGGACAAATCTATATTGCAGTTAACTAAATTATTCATTGAAAATGATATGATAGATAAATTTGATTATATAAGCTTAGTTAGTAATTTTGTTGTTAAAAATGTAAGAAAAGTAATATTTAAGTGATATTTTGTTGTATTTAGATTAATTTGGATTGATTAATGGCTTTATTTTTCTTTTTTTTTTTTTTTTTTTTTTTTTCCCTTTGTTGTATATTGAGTCTTCCTAAGACATGAAATAACAAAATCAAATTATTTTATTTTATTGTTTTTTTGTCTTTTGAGTTCTTATAATGATTTGCTAAGATCTTAATCTATGTAAGCAAATTTTGGTAATCATATTCAAACAATCTCTGTGTGGATACTAATAAATAAATAAATAATTGTGGGTAATTCCAATCACATTGGCTTAGCACCCGTAAAGCAGGTCGTGTTGAATAATCCAAATTTTTAATCGATGACATTGCAGTCAAGAAGATTAAATTTTCCAAAGCTAAAAGGGTTGGATTGTGCATCACCCCAAGCATAAACAATAGCACTTGAGTCTTAATAAAAGTTTTGCAAAGCACATGGAATTATATATATATATATAGAAGGACAAGGGGTGGTCAGTTTTACATTATTAATCCATGCCAAAATGAAATTTTAAAAGTACCAAATTTGTGTTCTCCTTCTAGGAACCTCCAGGGCCTCCATATAGTACCAGATGCCCAAAGTGAGCCCCCTGGTATCCTTCATCTTTCACTTCATACTGTTTTCTATTGCTTGTAAACTCATATGTTTGAGGATTTATATCCCCTCCACTTGGACTCTTAAGTGCAATATTCCTGAAGTATGTATCATATCTGGTGTCCTCAATTAGAAAATGACCTCCCCCCATTGCAGGTTTCGGGGTGCCCGGTGGACTAAATACCTCTCCTCCCCATTCAGCATGTGAAGCTAAGTTTGCTAATCCGCCACCAAGTATTCTCTTTGGCCAAAATCCAAGATTGGTATTTGCAACTCCAAGCCACTAGTTTCCATTAGCTAGATCCTATATATTTTTACATGGATATCAAAATTGAATAATTGAACAGAAGAACGCAAATTCTATTTCTTTACCACTAATTACTTAATTATGATTTTTGTTTCATAATTATTGGTGTAATAATTATTTGACACGATGGTAGGATGACTTGGGAACTTGTTTCATAATTAAGAGTTTTCAAATTTTACTTGCAAGATGTAGATTTCCATCGCAACCGATGTCCCTCCACGTATAGAGACCTTTTCAATTACTTGACCAAGAGGTATTTCTGTGTCCACAATCACAAATCCAGGACAATTTGTATTGAAACAATGAGATTGACCTGCCTGTTTGGTAGACAAACATATACGAATATATTGTAAGAGCTACCAAGAAAATATAGTCAATCGAGTAATATGCAATAAAAAACAATGATACTTACATTCGTATATATGAATAGTCAAGGACGTGCGTCACCAAACAGAAATGGATCCACCTGAGACAAACCAAAAACTTAATAACAACAAATGCTTTTGTCTATGTGAAGCTAGTTTTTACTTGTGAAAATTGTTTGTAAAATAGGTAAGAAGTTAAATTTACAAGAAGCAAGAAGATCAACTTACTCTCCACCCAACTTGTAAGCTATCAAGCCCATTTTGAATCATCATTCGCCCTGCACTATATTGTTTACCCACGACATCTGGTTGGTATACACTAAGCACCGCTGACGCTCCACTGTATTTGTTTGGACCATCTATTGTCTTAACTATGGCATACTGGGTAATAAAAGTCCAAAACATATGTGTTACTTTTATATTTTTTTCCTAGTCTGGAACATCGATGACGCAAGAGGTGGAGATGCAAAGTCTTAGATCCGAGGTGGAGAGCATGTTGACATAGCTATTGCAAGATGGTGGTGCTAGAAATAAAATTTCCCCTACTAGCTAGTCATGGTATTGTGTAAGTCTCTTTAATTTCTTTCAAATTTATGTGGGAAAAAAGGCGAAAATTTCCTGTATGGTGGCAAACTGGAGACCATAATGGGCACCTCATCCTAGATTCAAAAAAACTTGTGAGAGCAAGTGGCGCATCGATAGGACGAACGGTTAGAGAATTAGAGACAAAAAAAAAAAAAAAAAGGCAAAAGCAATTTTTCCGTGGAAAACCTTCCCACACTGAGAAGGAAAAAACCATGGGACCATAGTCCATCTTCCGTTTGGTTTAATTTTAGAATTATAATTTGAGTGTAGAGTTATGTTTTGAGTTTTGAGTTTTTCAATCATGATTTAAAAAGAGAAAATTTGTTTAGTTATGAGTTTTGAAAATAGTTTTGGGATGATTTGTAATTTTTTTTGTTTTTTTTTTTTTTTGATTGATTGATGTAAAAAATGTGAGAGAATGTGAGAGGTGAGATAAGAGATGAGAGAGAAAAAGTGATTGATTAATAATAAAAGAAAAGAAAAGAAAAGCGAGGAGTTTTGAAAGTAATTTTGAGTTGTATTTTAAAAATATATTTGGTTAACAAGTTGCATTTAAATCATGATTTATAAACAGAGTTGAGTTTTGAAAAGTAAAGCAAACGCTACCATAAGCTCTCCATGTGGGCTTGAGACTTACATGGGCTTTAACAAATATTTGGGCCATCCTTCACATACGAGGGAAACCCAACCCAACAAACATATATATATATATATATACGCTAGTACTTTTTTTTTGTTGATTTTCCCCCCTCTTTTCATTCAAAAAAGGCATCGTGCCCTAACTGTAAGATTTAATGTTTAGTGTTTTTGGTTGTGTAGATTCAAGCCATGTAAACAATCACATCTGCAAGTAAAATTATTATCAAAAGTTTGCCTAAAACTTTCAACAAGATGAGGCTAAACATATAGCTTCAAAAAATGAGGACTAGAATATAGGATCAAAAAATGTGGTTAGAGTGTTTTATGCGTGTGTTCAGATCATTCAAGAAGGTGATTCATAGAAATAAATAAAACCAAATATAGAAAACAAGCAATAGTGCAAAACTAATATTGTGAAGCTATATAATCTTGATTGACTAGGATAACTTACATCAGCACTACCGGTGTCATCTGCAGGAGTTATTATTTTTGAAGCAAGTTTCTCTCTAATGAGATCTTCTTTAGTAGTTCTTCTAATTGGAACTGTTCCAACTGGGCAACCCCCACCCTTTAGTCCTATATGTAGAGGTTTGCTAACATTTGAGGAAACTTGATCTCTTGATCTCTTAGGTAATGAAGTGGGCTTCATCTGCAATTCAACTCAATTCGAAAAAGGTAAAGGAGACTTGCACATAAATTGATCACCTAATGGATTATAGAAAACTCACAAGAGTTGGATTCTACGGTTGGGTACGTGCATGCCTTGTTTTCTATGAACCTCATAGAATTATTAGTGTTGGGTGCGTGTATCAAATTTTGTAAGATCCATATTGTATTTTGTGTTAGGTTGTTAAATCAAGAGTTCACTAGCAATTCAATGTGTAGGGTTTTATTAATTGTATGGGACTAACATTTCTATGGTTTGCCTACAAATATGAATCTTCTCTAAACTCTCCTCTCTTATATTGATGCTTGTTCCAAAATTATATTTTATTTATTGGATTTGATCAATACCATTATTCCGTTCGCCAATAAAAAGAAGTATTGTAGAGGTGTGAGATTGAGAGGGTTTGTAAAGATGTAAGGGATATGAAAAAATTCCGGGGACAATGATAGTGAGTAAGTAAGCACGCGTAGCTTCTAGAATCAGTTAATCTTAAGTAGGGAAATGGGTAGAGTTTCAAGACTTCGGTATTGGTGTTAGATTTTAAAGGTTTTTGGTTTTATTGTTGTACACGCTATGATTCATAGTATATTTCTCTTTTGTATGCAAATCTTTGTGATTTTTAATCTTTAGTGTGTGCATATGGATGTGCTTCCATTTGAATTTAGGATGTGCAATAATCTCAGCACCTATTGTGCGAACTACAGTGTTCTGTGATTTATTTTGTGCTTATAGAGTGTTGAATAAATAATTAAGTAGCCTTCAATTATGTGTTGGAGATAAGAGGATGTATGGAGACAAACCTGAAAATGAAAAGTGTGGTTCTTTAGTAGAGGATGATCAAATGCAGGTTGTTTGTAGAAATCCACGCAATCATATGTATCTCCATAATTATTCTGTAAATGTTACAATCTTTCCGTTAATTTTTATATACAATTGTTCAATTCATGAAAGGTTCACAATTTTCTCCAAAAATAATAATAACATATTATGTATTCCCAAGTTTAGAACGTCAAATTAGATGGTTGTAATTCAAGACAGCCATGATATTAGGCCTAAGATGCCTATTAGTCTTTGCCATTTGATTTTCATAGAAAATTTAACTGGACATTATTGGAATTGAATGTCCTCTAAACTAGTCCCAAAACATCCTAGGAAATCGGCTCAACTTAAATTTTTATTTATTATATTTGAGACAATAGTTTGTTGATAGATATGTGTCAACAACTTTATGTTCCGATTTAAAATTGAAGAGATAGATTTTTTTAACCCAGTAAATAATTTTTAATCAAAAAAATTAGTTTAATATTTTATTGTTAATTTGGTACAAATTTAATTCATTTCACATTAGAGACAAAAGGATCTCATGCCGTACATAGAGATTGTGTTTGCTTGGGATTGTCCCTATTTATCCTTTATATGGTGATTATTAAGTTCCATAAGAGGTAGATACAAAATAAGACATTAAGTATGGGATATGATTGATTCTTGAGTTCTATAAGGTGATGAGATACCAAATGAGAGATTAAGAAGGGTCATTATACTACGTATGTATGTCTAGTGTGATTCCAGACAAACATGGGATATGACAAGATTTTACCAATTTCGCAATCCATGAACATTTCAAACTGGGATAATATATGCAATTGATAATATCAACATCAATTATGGAAAGTCTATTAATCAAATATAATTTACTCCCATGAAACATAGCAAAATTGAACTAAGACTGTGTTTGGATTTTAGATTTATATATGAATTTGAAAAGGGAAATAGAAACATGAGTGAAAAATGAATCAAATATAATTATACTTTATCTAACTATTCCATTTCTCTATCTAAATTCGTGATCCAAATGCAGTCTAAATGTTTCCAATAATATTTGAGAATAAATACTTGTATAGTCTTGACTGCTGGCTTGTTGAGATGCTTAAGTCGCTCCTCCAACTCCAAATATCTGTTGAATGCTATTGCTTTATTCATTGCTTATATGTGGTTTAGTATATTTCTACTGGGCTGTGGCTCACCCTTTATGGGAACATCATTTTCAGGTTCAGGTGATAAGCTACCTCCCAGGACTTAGCTTGGAAGGATTTGGATTTTGAAGACTTGTCTTTAGTTATTTGTTTTATTTGAGATTACATGTTAACATTCAAGCCAAGGGCTTAACTTGTAAATGGGTTAGTACTCATTCTTTTGTGTCCAAGTGTTAGGTTGGAAAGATAAAAGCCCTTAGGGCATTTATTTTGATGTTTCATGTGATGTCTTTCAATAAAAGTACTCTGATGAATAATACAAAAGATTCGTTTTCTTTTAATAGTGCATGTTAATGTTATGTATATTATGGGTTTAATTTGAGGGCGTTACAGTTAGTGATCAAAAATCACAACAATCATGCTATAATTATTTAAGGCAATTAATGAAATTACAATCGTACTATATCTATACACATAAGGTTCACATATTTTATTTTTGAACAAAATATATTAATAGTCCTTAAAGTATGCGTTTATTGTCATTTTGGTTCTTCAAGTTTTAATTTTGTTAATTTCATTATTGAAATTTCAATTTGAGTCAATTTGTTCCAATTCTAAGTGTACCTTCTAAATAGTTAACGGAATGGTAATAAAATACACACATGTTCTTTAAAGTATATGTTTCTTGTCACTCGTATCACTTTGATCCTTGAAGTTTTTAATTTTGTCAATTTGGTCATGAAACATTAATGAAGAAAATAAAACATAACCATGCAATATTAAAGGACGAAATTGATAAAATTGATACTTGAGATACCAACATGACACAAAATGTACATTTTTAGGACCATAGTAAAATTTATAATTATTTTTCTTAACGATTTAAACATGTTGACTCAAATTGACAATTTTGAAGCAAAATGACGAAATTATTATTATTTTTTTTGATCTGCTAGAATCAGTTATTAGTTGTTAGATTAGTACCTTTAAAAGTTAGCCTTCTCACCCTTTATAAATTCAACTCTCCCCAACAAGAGTTAAATTAGGATATTTAATCTAATAGTTGTATAGACGTCACTGGTTCAATCTCGATAGAGAAGTTGGGCTTGATAGATTGGTTGTAAGTAACTCTCTTATATATTGACCCCAAAAAAAACACCTTAAAATTTTAATAATTAAATTTATTTCCAATGAAGTAATTTATTTAAGAATTAATGAATTAAAAACTCAATCTCTTGCATTACTCCAATTTAATTTTAGTTGAAAACTGAAAATATCAATTTGACTGGATTGATGGCTAACCATTGGGTTTTTTATGGAGAAAATTATACCAATGAGGCGATAAATTTATAATATAGGAAAATTCGTTTTAAATTAGATAGTCTTATCAAAGTAACTTATTATTTTAAAATATCATTGTCATATTATTTTAATTAAATTATTTATGTAAAATTTATTTTTTTAAATCGATTTCTTAAATTTATTTTAATAAGAGTGCGATAGAGAATTATTATTTATTTATTTTTGATAACTTGGTAACCTCCAATTTCATTGTTTACAAACAAATGGTCCAATTAAAGTATGGACTAACCCAAAAAATTGTTTGGGGCAAGGAGATTTTGAACTTACGAACATAGAGAGAGCACGTCCCCATTTCCCCGGCCTTGACTACCAGGCCAACTCCTTAGGTAGTGTTTCATTCATTGGAATAATTAAAGTGGAATGAATTATCATTTTATCAAAATATTCATTCATTTGTTTGATTAAATTAAAAAAATAATAACAAACGCATTACAAATAGAATTACCTTTCACAATTTTAAATAAATAGTCATTCCATATGAAAGTCTATGGAATTACGATTCATTTTAACAAACCAAAAAAAGAGCATAATGGTTAGCAATATTCTATTATGAAGTGAGTAAAAAAGACATGTCAAACTGCTAAACCAAAGTAAACCAAATAACAATGAAAATGAACAGACAAATTAAACAGGAAATATTGAGTAAATTTACAAACGCACATACAAAAATCAAGGCATAATTTGTTTAAAGTAATGATTGCCATATAAAAAAAAATGCAAGTGGGAATAATGTATATTTGTAAGTAATTGAAGGAAAATACAATAAATTTTCATTTTTATTTTTTTAATTTTATTTTTTTGAGTTTAGTAAAAATGGATTTAAATATACTAATTTTACAACTATTAAGCATGAATTAACACAGCTTTCTGCTAACAAAGTACATTTGTAGGGAGAGATGTTGTGAAATGCAGCTTTGCTTAATTGAATGACAAACATTTATTTAATTTTTCACTCTCTAATTTGGAATTCAGACTAAAACATCTTCTCATTTGAAGGAAGTTATAGAAATTTCTATTTAAAATTAACAAATTATTAACTAGGAAAAAATATAATGCTATAAATCATAAACAAATACCTGAAAGACAGTAGACTTCTATCACAAGAATGATTTTGAGACCTCAATTCACATGGGAATGGGAATGGGAATGGGAATGGGAATGTGTGTGGTTCAAATATATATACTAGTAAAAGAAGCCGATGTCTAGCAATGCCCATTATTATTATGGTTAATGCTAATAAATGTCTCTGAGGTATTTGATTAGCAATGCCCATTATTATTATGGTTAATGCTAATAAATGTCTCTGGGGTATTTGATAAGATGTGGTTAAAAAAAATATTATAGGTCTCAAATTTTCTACTAAACAAATGACTAAATGTCTCATATGAATCCCACACTCATGTGAGATATTTCATCGTTTGTTTGGTAAAAATTTTGGTATTCCTAGCATTACCCTTGTGTTAAATAGGGAATTGGGGTGCCTATTGTGCAACAAGCACATGCGGGCGCTATTGTGCACGCTTTGAGGCTCACTCTGAGTCTTATATTGATAATCCAAACTGTTTATTTTTTAGTGTATACCATGAAGAACATATCTATAAATAATCAAGTTGATCTGACAATAGTAACTCTTTTATCTAAACACATTTGTATTGATAAAAATGCATGGCCAATGTTATTTTAAATATAATATTGAATATAAATATGTTTCGATTAAAGGGTTATCGTTATCCAATTAAATTATTTTTTATAAGTATATTGTACATGATATTGTCTAAAAAAGAAATACTTTCAATCATTAAAATAAGAATCGGAGTGAGTCTCACCGTGAGCACAACAGTGCTAGTAGTGCTTGACATATACAACAGGCACCCTAATTTTTTTTAATTTATTTTTTATCAGGACAATAGGCACAATAGGCACCCTAATTCTATTAAATAGGATAGTATTGATTTTTATTATTAATGCATATTTAATATTATATTAAATTTTCTTGAATTTAGTAATTTTCTGTTTTTAATCTATTAATTAAGGGTAAATTACACTCCATAGTCATGTGCTTATTAAATTATTATTTTTATTAAAGATTTATATAGTAGAGTAATAAAAGGAAGATATTGACAATTGACTAAAAGTGCAAGAGTTGACTCTCACAATTTCATGTGTAGAGATCAAAGTGAGATTTGGTATAAAATATAGGAGTGCAAAGTGTAATTATTCATTAATTAAATTAGATGCATGTAATAGTTTTGTATTTTTAACCTATTATTTAAAATTGAACAAATTCCAAGAATCATGAAATAAAGTATTATTAGTTGCTGCTTATCACATGCCCGAGAAGCACTTGGTAATTGTGAAATAATCACAATTTTTTAATAATTTTTTTTACTAAATAATTCATCTATAATGATTTGGCAAGGGAGTTGGGATTTATATTATTAGATTTGTAACAAATCAAAATTGACACATGATACTATATCATTGTGAGTATAAATTTTTTTTTGTCAGTCTTAAACATTTTCTTTTACCAAAATAATCTATTCCCAACGGATCAATAA